CTGTTCTCACCTGTTGTTGGCGCATTTAAAAGTTCTGGCTGCCCGCGAGGCCTAACTCGAGCCTTCCTGTTCCCTCTGTGCTTGGCCATATGTGGTCATCACATCAGAGTGGTCAGCTGCTGAGACCGATTAAGTCATTTAGCTGTTCAGGTCTGAAATAAATTAGGCAGCGTGAAGTCAGGCCAATCTCCCCTACGCAGTTGTTAGGCTCACGATCTCTTTCCAGAAGAGAGACACGTTATTTGCTTACATAGTACATCAAATGGCAAGTACGCTTAGGTTTTCTGTGCTTACCTTGGAACGGCCGCAGCCCTTGGAAGGACTGGAGAAATGGTGGGAGCCAAGTGAATTACCCAGACTCCACGGGACTCGTTTTTGCACAGCGTCTGGGAGCTGGAGAGCAGATCTGCCCGGCAAGAGGAACTCGCTGGAGGAGCAGTGCTGCGACATGGCCGTGAGGCCACCTGCAGCGAGTCTGCCTACGAACTAGATGAATTTGTTTCCTAATAGCTTTGTATTAGTGTGTGGGGTTTTTTCAGGGTGTTTTGGCAGTGGGGGGGTTGTTTATTTGTTGGGGGGGGTGGTTTTGTTTTTGGGGAGGGGGTGCTTGTTTTTAGTCACGGGAGATGTAGTCCTAGTTCATTAGGTTACATAGCTATAGATGCTCAGTGGCAGATTACCCCTCTCTAGCCAAAAACATGTTAATGGAAAGCCCTTCGTGTCCTGCGGCAGACTCGGCCTGTTTGTTTGAGGCAGAACAGCTGTCTGGAAATGTGCAACTCATTGAAATGTGAAGAGAGGGAAACGCTCTTTTCGCTTCACTGCCTGCCAGGCCCCTCCTTCCCTCCCTCCTTCCCTCTCTCTCTCTCTCTCTCTCTCTCTGTTTGTGGTGTCCTTCCCTTTTCTTCTCTTGTGTGTGTGGTTTTTTTTTTTGTTTTCTTTTTTTTTTTTTTTTGGGGGGGGGGTGGAATGAATGGGGAGCTGCTTCTAAACTTTGCTCCTTTGTTAATTCGGTGTCTGTGTGGGGTTTTTACCAAGAAGAGCTCTGTATCGTGTTCTCCAGAAGAGCACCGTTGTCTCTGCTGTAGTATTACTGTGTATCCTTTGCCCCTTTCTACAAGGGAAGAACGGGCCCATGAGTTGAAGGGTAGGCCCAATGACCGTGTGAACTTAAAATATATATTCTAGAAAGGTACTCTGTGTGTATTGGGAAGTTTGGTCAAGACTGTTTAAACAGTCTTAAATATTTTGTAGTTTGGTTAACGTCTCACTAGTACGTGATGCTTATCCATGATGAGGAAGTAGCTCCCAGGGATAAAATAGTATGACTGGAGTTTAAATACATGGCTGTATTTAAAGCCCTTTCAAGCATACTATTGGTGTTTCATATTGCCCGCTCATTTGAGGCAGCAATAATTTAAATAGCGGTGTGCCTGTTACCGATACCTGCAACTTCTTGGTGGCAGTTGCTTAAAAAGTAGTGTCATTTGTTATCCAACTTCATTAAACATGTGAGTGGAAAGATGGCAGCTCCACAAATCTGAAGATAAAATATTGTAGGAAAGCAAGCTGGGTCATAAAGAGACAAATGAAGGACTTAAATCTGCTAAACAATTTGCAGATGCTAGGAGCACAGGGGATTAAAATGAGAACAGCAAACTGCAGGCTGTAACAAGTATGTGCGCTGAAGGCCAAGTTGCAGAGGCCTCTACTTGGCATCTTACTTTCTGTTTGGTTACTTCCACCCACAATTGACTTACTGAAGCAAAATTGGAGCCACAGGAAACAAAACGTAAAGTCCTTCTTCTATAATGTGCAGAGGCAAAAAGTGCCTGTACCCATAAATCAGGTGTTTTGACTATCTGCACGGTAACTTGAATCTGTAAAAGCTCACCTCCCACTTGTGCGTTAAATGTCATGCGTTTTGGATGTTTTTATGCATACAGTAGGCAGCTCTGAAATGAACGTACCATGTCACCTTACACAGTAGTTAAATGTTATTTCAGAACTGCAGCTATACAGCTTTAAGCTTCAAAGTAATAGTGCAAGACAGTTTTTGCCGTTCTCACCTGCCCTCAAAGCAAGTTCAAGTCCTTTCTGAGATGAAAAATCCTTTCAGAATCTTGATTTCTAAAAATAATTTCGGGATTCGAGGAACCACCAGTGAGGATGTGCTAACTATAGCATTGAGCAGTATTAACAGTCTGAATTTCTGTGAAATCATATTGTCAGTTATGGTAATAGAAACCTTCCAAAATCCAAGACGCGTTGATTCCCTAAGCCAAGGGACGGAAAGTGCATTTATATTAGCAGTGTCTTGAGACCTGCAATAAAACTTAGTTACTAATGTGCGGTTTTCTGGCTGTGGATATCAGAGTGATGCTAAAGCATTTTCATTTGTTCAGACATCTTTCTGGGAGATCAGTGACAGCTGGAATATTCCAAAAGTGAGTCATTTAGGTAGATAGCTTCCAAAATGTAATGGTTGGCCAAAGATCCCAAATGATGAAGATGGAAAAACTATGGATTTAGGAATTTTCTCAAGGTCCTTGATGTGGTTCTTATTCCTTCCCCTTGCCTCCAATAAAAATAAAACACTAATATTCTCTTCCCCCAAGGCGTCACTTTCGCTTTGAGAGTAAAATACGTTTTCTGTATTTTCCATTTTGCTATAGCGTATTATATCCAACCAGTGCTACGGTGAAGTGGTCTATTGCTAATGGTAGCAAGAATCAAAGAACTGTATTGTAGTATAGTAGGATGATTCATGAAAATAAATGCTACAACCTTTTTCAGACTGTTCCAAACCAAATTGACTTTCTATATATTCCTGTTTAGTTTCTAGAGTGAGACTTACCCTTGGTGACTTGATGCTTAATCATGTGCGCTGTAAGCATCCATAGTTCATGGATGTTGAAATATTTGTAGTATGAAGTTTGTGCAGGGAACATCTTATATCAGCATCTTGGGGGACTGGGACCTTAGTATTCAGTAGCTGATAGAATAATAATAAATAAATAAGTAGAGTCCAGTGTAGGTGAGGTAGTTTTCTGGCCTTGACCTTGCTGTTAATAAAAGCAGACAGGAGGGAGACCTCTTAAGATTTCTACTGATAGTAATCCTTTGGATAGAGCTAACTGTAATACAGGGTAAAGCATGGAATCCTGTGCATTGGATGAGGGAGACCTGGGTCCCGTCTTTTGACCTACAGTATGACTAGGGATGGTTCATTCTTTCTGCATAGAATAGTTAAAAATCTTACTGTGGGGCAACAGTATGAATGATCTCATGCTAGAGAGCTTGATCTCACTGTAGAGCTTCTTATTGCTAGATCCTTCTGGAAAAAATAGGTGTTTTTTTTTTTTTTTTAAATTGGGTAGAATTGGGCTATCCGTGCTGGAAAGGGCTGCTTTGGATAAATCTGTTGTTTACATATAACTAATATAGGTCTGCACTAGCAAATCTGACACATCTTTTGAATGCAGCAGTGATACTCTCCCTGCAGTGATTTTTTCCTCTAAAAGTCAGATAATAATTTCCAGAATCATAGAATAGTTGAGGTTGGAAGGCACCTTGGGTGGATGTTTAGTTCAACTACTTGGTAAAAGCGGAGTCATTTCCATTAGACCAGGTTGCCTAGGTCTTTATCCACTGAGGACTTGAAAACCTCCAAAGGCAGATACTGCACAACCTCTCTGTCTGTTCCACTCCTTGACTGTCCTCAGGGTCAAAAAGTTTTTTCTTCTATCCAGTCTGAATCCCTTCTATTTTAACTTATGGCCATTGCCTCTCATCTTCCCACCATGCACTGTTGTAAAGAGCCTGGCTCTGTCTTCTCGATGACCTCCTCCTACGTACCAGCAGGCTGCTGTTAGGCTCCGCTGAAGCCGTCTTTTCTCTAGGCTGAACAAGCCCAGGTTCCTCAGCCTCTTCTCATGGGGCAAGCGCTCCAGCTGCCGACTACCTTGGAGGCCCTCTGCTGAACTCACTCTAGTTGACTGATATCCACCCTGTACTGGGATGCCCAAAACTGGATGCATTATTTGAGATGTGATCTCATGAGGGCTGAGTAGAGGGTGTTAGCCGGGCAGTCCCCAGCCTGTACCACTGTGGGGTGTTAATCCTTCCTGGGGGCAGGACTTTGCATTTGTCCTGGTTGAATTTCAGGATGTTCCTACTGGCCCATTCCTCCAGCCTGTCTAGGTCCCCCTGGATGTCAGCCTTGTCCTTCAGCATATTGAATGGTCCCCCCCATCCTTCCTCACCCAATCTTATGTCATCTGCAAACTTGGCAAGGGTGCACTCTTATCGCTTCCGCCAGATTATTGATAAAGATGTTAGGCAGGAGAGGTGCCAGGATTGACCCTTGCAGTACTTGACTTCTTACCAGCCCAAGTAGAGTATGACCCCATTGACTACTAATCTCTGGGCCCAATCATCCAACCATTTTTTTTTCCCATCTGGTTGTCCGTGCATCCAGACCTTAAGGCCCTTTCTTGGATGCGAGAATGCTGTGGAGAACAGTGCTGAAGTCCTTGCTGAAGTTGAGGCAAAAGACATTTTTTGTGTCCACAAGTGTAGTCTTTCAGCCACAGAAAGTAATGAGGTGGGTCAGGCTGGCTGATCCCAATCACCACCTTCTCTTGCAGTGTCCAGAAATGTGTTACCAAGAGGACTTACTCTGACTTTGAAATTTAGATCACTTGTCCGATGGGAGAGGTAACTTCAGAGGTGCCTGGACGGGCTCAGTTCACAAAGCTGCTAGTTGCAGGACCGTTATCCAGCTGCAGTTCCTCATACTGAGGACTTTGCTATGTAAAGATCTTCACAGTCATTGACAGAGCTGAAAATTGCACTGTTTTTCGAGTTCTAGCCAAGAGTTTTTCCGTTCCCTGTAGTTACAGATTAACAGCACAGTAGAATTGAATGCTGGGAGTTAACAGGCAAATTGTTTTGACACAAAGCTTCGCTCCACTCCCAGACCCTGGGCTGGTGAAGCATTCAGTGGAGTGGCACATTAGAAGCTGCTTTGTCTGTGGGGGTGCAAGAAATGCACAGTTTTGGTGAACTTTCAAAACAGCTATTGAGTTGCCTGGGGGACTTCCTTGCTGCTAATAGGTGTTAAATATCGGGCAGAGATGTTTCTGCTGCCTTTGAGGAGGTATGAAGAATTCCCCTAGCAATCACTCCTTTGCTTTTATTTATAGCCGTTACTCAGCTTTGTCAGCTTTGTTCGCCCCTTCTGGTATCTGGCCCCTCTGCTTGCTTGCCTGGGGGTTGCTTTCCTGCAGAACGGTGTCTGGGCTTGCAGCAGCTTCTGCCAAGTTCTCTCATAATGTTCCCTTGTTGCTTCGCTCCAGCAGCACTTGAGCTGGGCAACATTCATCCTCCTCTTCTGTCAATATTCCTGCATCTAAGATGCAGTGTGAGCGCATGGAAAGAATAGATTTTGGCTGTGCAGAAGCTCCTTCCTCACTCCCCCTTTCCCTAGGTAACTGTAGGACAACTCTTTGCTGTTAATGAGTCTCAATCCCATCTAGCTGGGGCACCTGGCAGCCCTCCAGGCCAGGCCATGCCCCCATGACGATGCTGATTTTCCTGCCCGTTCCCCATCTGCTCTGTCGATCAGGACTCCAGCGCTGATACCAGTTTTCACCATGGGCTTGATTGCCCTAAAGTGGAACTTAATGTTTCTAGCAGAGATGAGTGGTTTACTTAATCTGACTACTCTACAGGCCCTATAAAGGCTAGCTGTTTTTATTTATTTGTTTTTTTACATACATAAGCAAGAGAACTTTTTTATTTTTTGAAAAATGCTCTTGATTGCTGTTGGCATAGCATACACAGCTGCTGCCTAGACACCACAGTTTTAACAATTTTTGCTGTGGTTTGTACAGATTGACGTATCCAGGCAAGGAATGTAAGCCACAGAAAGCTGAAGATGAAACCGAGCAGGGACTACTAAACTGGTAGCAATGAACGACTTAGCTGAAGTTTAGAATAGTATTTAATTTATGAAAGCTTGAGTTACATTGTTCCCCTTTTCACTTGACGCTCCAGCAGCTGAAAAGAAGCCCTTTCCATACGTGCTGTAAATCCCTAGACCCAGCTCTTCCTGCTCCTAAATTTGCATTGTGACTGCATGTCTGTAGCATTTTGCTCTATTAGAGAGGTGCATTCCTAAAGACTTACTCCATTTCTGCTTTTCTTCTAAATTCTGTATTCAGTTGACTACATTAATTCTGTATTCAGTTGATTGCAAGAGTCAAGTTTCTTTATTGCAGGGGTGGGGGGAGAGATTTTCTGTCTGTATTCAATTCCTAATCTCTTTCTAGTATATCTAGTAAACTTTCATGGGAGCAAACTTTTATCTTAACTTTTGGCAAAGGCATGATGCACAGTGCGTGTTTAGAAAAATGGAGGGGGAAGTTGTACAATCAAAGAATATACTTAACGGAGCAAGATGGGGGTTAAAAATTTACTGTAAGGAGAGTTTATGGAATAAGACTAATCCAAACAGGAAAAAAATTTCATTTATTTTTCGGATTATTGAAATCTGTTCCCTGTCAGTTGAAACTTTATTTTTGACTTCTAACATTTTTTTTTCTAGTATATGTGCAAGAGACCAGTCATTTCACAATGGAAAAAACTATTTCTGAAAATCTTTAACGATTGTGCAGTTTTTTTCCTAAAATTGGGCAAGTGATTGACTGTTATTTCAGTCTTCTGAAAAACACTTATTTCAAGAGAACCACCTCTCACTAAAATACTTGTGCTGAAGCTTTTCCAACCATTTTTCTGTAAGCTGAGTTAGCAGGGTATGACACGTGTTAATAAAATGTGCCCTGAGCATTTTTCAGAATTGGGACCAATATTGTTAGGTATGAGGAAATACTTCTTGGTGTCTCGTCACTTGCAGAGTAATTTGGGATTTTAGCTATCTTGATTTATTTCCATACAGATCTGTTTTTGGAAATGGATGAAATACGTTCAGAGGGGAAAAGGCTATGCAGAATAATTCTTCAAGGCTTTTGTTCTTTAGCAGTAACACTCAGTTACTATTTCTTCAGCTGCATTTTTAAAATTTTTGTTCTACATGTAGTGATGAAACAACATTTCTGAGGCTAAAAAAGGTTTGCAAATCATTACAGTCTGTGAATGTCTTATTGACTATTGTAATAAAGGTGGGCAAGGATATAACTGGCTCTATCTGGAGGAGAACAAAGAATTTGAAGGGATGTCTTGGTACGCTCGGGCCAACAGCTCTGCTGTGGGAGCAAGCACATCATGCAATCCTTTTCATTAACTTGTTGAGCCCATCTTGAAAGCGCTTTGTCCCCTACCCTCTGTTTCTATGGGAGACTATTTCAAACCTTTATTTCTCTGAGGATCAAGAATATTTCTTTAATTGAAAGCCTAAAATTGTTCAGGGCCAGAATGCCCGTTTGTTCTTAAGCAATACCCTTGAGTTAAAACAGCTCTTCTTTCTTACTGTTGTCTCTTACTTACTGGACTGCTCCTAAATGATCTTCATCTGCATTTCCTTCCGGATAGCATCCCTACTACTTGCCTTTTCCTTTTTTTCCTGTATAGCTAAAGAACCTTTTGCTAGATGTTTTAACCTTTCGAGTTGTAATTAAACTTAATTTTTGGCATTTCCTGCTTTATCCCTATGCTGCTTGGCCTGTGATAGTTTGCTTTGCTGATCAGTGTTTGTTTTGGTGTTTTTCTGTCCTTTATTCCAAGCAGATACCTTGATGTTACTTTTCAAGGCAATCAGGGCTCCCTTCTTGCAGGCTCCCTTCTTGCAGGCTCCCTTCTTGCAGGCTCCCTTCTTGCAGGCTCCCTTCTTGCCGGCTCCCTTCCTGCCGGCTCCCTTCTTTCCGGGTCCCCTCAATACCCTTGAGTTAAAACAGCTCTTCTTTCTTACTGTTGTCTCTTACTTACTGGACTGCTCCTAAATGATCTTCATCTGCATTTCCTTCCGGATAGCATCCCTACTACTTGCCTTTTCCTTTTTTTCCTGTATAGCTAAAGAACCTTTTGCTAGATGTTTTAACCTTTCGAGTTGTAATTAAACTTAATTTTTGGCATTTCCTGCTTTATCCCTATGCTGCTTGGCCTGTGATAGTTTGCTTTGCTGATCAGTGTTTGTTTTGGTGTTTTTCTGTCCTTTATTCCAAGCAGATACCTTGATGTTACTTTTCAAGGCAATCAGGGCTCCCTTCTTGCGGGCTCCCTTCTTGCGGGCTCCCTGCTTGCTGGCTCCCTTCCCTCCGGAGCGCTCCCCCTCTGGGATAACTTCCTGAGTTCAAGCACTTACGATGTTGAGTCAGCCCTCCTTCTCCTCAACTGTCCCGTTAAGCAATTCTCTTAGCGTCGTTGCTTGTGCCTTTTCAAAGTGAGTGCCTTCCTTCCAGATCACCTCATGACAAGTCACTTTTCACTCAGTGGCCATAGGACCTTGTCGGATCTGGTGTAGATGTGGTGTCACTTTCCCAGGGACCATGTTGCCAGAGTGCTTTGGGAGCTAGTGCAGATTCACTAGGATTTTCAACAGAGGTCTGTTACAGACTAATGAAATCAGTTGTTTCAGACAACATACTTGGAGTTCAGCAGATACTCCTTTCCAGTGATACTGAGTTCAGTGGGAAATGTTCCACTAGCTGAAGTTGTGAAGCTCATTCTGAATTTGTTGCATTCCAAATTAGAAGTCCTGAGTCTTTAGTGGTGCAGTTTAAGGGTACCCTCCTCATTTCAGACATCTGAAGAAACTTATGAGAGACAACATGATGTGTATCATAAGTAAAATGATCTTGAAGCTTTTAACTCGTTTGGATTAACCTAGATCTTTTGCCTGTCTTTAAAGAGCAGGGTTTAACTTTCATCTTAAAGCAACTTGTCAGTTTTATGTCTGCCAAACTGCGTATGCTTTTTTCCTGTTGGTCTTGGTGGATATTGTGGTGTTAAGCTTACAGCTTTAACAATTAGGATACAACCAAAACCATTAAGCTAATTCTGTTAAGGATATCTTTTTGAAAGAGTATCAGGAATTTTATTATATCTGCTTTAGCTTGCCTTGCTTTGAGCAGGGTGTTTGGACTGGATGATCTCCAGAGGTCTTTCCAATCTCAACCATTCTGTGATCTGAATGCATTGCTAAATAACGTTCATTAACTGGAAACAAGTATTTTTTTTCTGCCTGTATCTATTGATTATTAGAACATATTCAGACATAGTATTTCTAGTTAGTACTTTAGATGTCAGTGGCAGCCTGTACATTTCGTTATGAATGATTTCTATGATCAAATTAGCTTTCTTCTAATTTTAAAATGCAGTTAGTGATTTTTCTGATATATGTTTGTGGATTGGTATGTTTCCAGTTTTCAGTTCTGTAAGAGCTACTCTATCGTAAACGTAGCTCTCCTATTGTCCATTGAAATGAAAGCCAAGGACAAATGACCTGTTTCAGAGGACCAGCTTGCTCAAACGTCTACAAAGAGTGATTATATTGTCTTTCTTGAATAAGAAAACACGTGTCCTTTTTTGAAGGAAGTAATCATTTTGGCAAAAGTGAGGCAATAACCTAAGTTGCAAGTGGCCTCTGCAGATCGTGCAGTCCTCCTCCCTGCTCAGAGCAGGCTCAACCAGATCAGATTGCTTCCAAAGGTTGTGATTTCACAGCTGTTCCTACATCTGCCTGCCCTCATGGTGGCCGTCGCATCTCTTCCTGTCACTGTGCACCTTTTCAAGTCTGTCAATATCTTCTCTTGAGCCTCCTGGGGGTAGCTGAAGAGAGCAGGACGTGGCCCCTTTAACCTTTCTTTTCCAGAGTGACACAAGGCAGCTGTGTCAGCCTCCCCTCGTAGGTCTTGGGCTCTGTCTGCCTGCTCACCTTGGGGAGCCTCCTGGGTGTGCGCCGCAAAGTGCTCGTACCCTTGTTGGCACAGGGAATCCCAACATGGACCGTGTCTTGCTGGTGGGCTGGCTTCAGCCTGGGTCAGAGTGTGCAGTGCGCGTGCAGCTGCCTTTACCCAAAGGGCACGCTGCTGACTGTATTTAACTGGTTGTACATTGGGCTGCCCAGGTCCTTTTCTGCAAAGCTGCTTCACAAGCCAGAAGCAAATGTAGTCTCTGGTGTGGGACCTGGCTTTGCCAGTG